GTTATGGCTAAAACTTTGATTTTCTACTGGAACAGATCAATTTGTTCAGGATTTAATAGAGATTTTGATTTTGAAAATTATAAAAGGTTTTAACAGATAAATAATGGACGTTTTATCAGTTGGCTTGTGATTCAGTGATGAGTGCTGGAACCATGATTATTACTAACAGAATGACAAAAAAAATTGAAGACTTTTTATGACATGTTAGGATTATTAAGATGTAGAATGCATTACCATACATCAGCGTTGAGACAGACATTATATTTTAAAGGGAATTGAACACTTCTGATAAGGATTTCATCGTCCTCTGCTGCTATAGTTCTGTCAATTCTGTATTTAATGGGAACATGGTGTTGGTGGTGCATGGAGGGTTTTTTCCCATGCTACTCCTGTATGCCCTTACCAAAATATAACAAGGCAGCACACCCAGCTGAAGATGGCCGCTAAACTTGCTGCATAAAACTCAGAAGGGATTTACAAGGATACATTGCTCATGAATTAAGCCTACCAAAATAAGACTGTTCTATTTACCATCTAAATGTGTACCAGGGTGTAGTCAAGTAATCTGGTGCAATTCTGGATGTACTGTACTTCGATTTTCAGATGGCATTTGATAGGATGTCACATCAAAGATATTGCTGAAAATAAAAGCTCATGGTACAGGGGTTGCATATTGGCATGGGTAAAAGTTTGTCTAGCTAACAGGAAACAAAGTAGGCATAAATAAGTCATTTTCTAGTGGGCAAGATGTAACAAGTGGTGTAACATATAAATCATGCTGGTTCTTCAACTTTTTACACTTTATCTAAGTGACTTGAATGAAGGGACCAAAGGTTTAGTTGCTAAATTTTCTAATGACATAAAGAAAGGTAAATATGTTGTGAAGAGGACATAAGTAAGTGGGCAAACTTCTGGCAAATGGCATATAATGTGGAAAATTGTGCAATTTTCCATTTTGGCATGATACTAAAGAAGCATCTTATTTAAATGGTCAGAGATTGCAGAGCGCTAAGGTACAGAGGAATCTGTGCCTTAGTGCAGAAATTGCAAAGGTGTGTGGATACAGCATTTAGTTAGTAAAACTAAGGGAATTGAATAGAAAAGTAAGGAGGTTTTGCAGGGTATTGGTGCAACCACGTAGTATTGGTCTCCCTATTTAGGAATATGGAGTAAGAGTAGGCCATACAGCCCTTCAAGGCCTGTCTTGTATCTCTGCTGGAGTTTAGAAGGGCAAGAGGCCACTGATTGAAACATGCAAGATCCTGAGAGGTCTTGCTAAGGGGAATATGGAAAGGGTGTTTTATTTTATGAGAGAATCTAGAATTACCGGTCACTGTTTAAAAATTAGGAGTCACTCATTTAAGACCGATAAGGAGAATTTTTCTGAATACCATTAATCTTTGAAGCTCCCTTCCTTAAAAGGCATTGGAAGCAAAGTCTTTAAATATTGAGGTTCTAATCAGGTGAGCCATGATTTTAATAAATGGCAGAGCAGGCTTGAGAGACAAAATGACCTACTTCTTATGTTTCCATTAAACATTGAGCCTTCAGGATACTGGATATTAAAGGGGCAAAAGATTATCGGTTAGTAAGAATATGGAATAATGAGATTAGCCATGATCTTACTGAATAGCAGAGCAGGCTCAAAGGGCCAAAAAACCTATGCCTGCTCCTAATTTTGTATGTACCTCACAATGACCACAGAGAAGCCACTTCTATAGACTTGTTATCAGGAAGATAATAGATGGCCTTGCTATCTACTTTAGGGTGCCTGCAACCAAATTGCACCATGAGGTTGTCACTACCTAGAGAAGGTTTCTTGTGCATTCGATCCTTTTAGTTCAGCCTCTTTCTAATTTAAGTTTATAGTGTAGATGATGCATATGTGCCACGCTCTTGTTTATAAAGCAATGGAACCATTGATCAGCATCTTTCCTCCTGCACAAAAAATGGTGTGAATTGACTACCCATACTACTTGTGGTACAGTGCAAGTCAGTGTTAATGGCAATTGACACGTTCCTGCTCCTCTTTGATAGTACCATTTGCTCACGTATGGTAACTTAGATTTATTTTTAAAGCTACTTTAAAGTTAACTTTTACTCCCCTCTGTCTTCAAATACTGATTAGACAGAGATCAAATGATTGTGAATCATATTAAATAGGCACCAGAATTAGGTGGGTCTAAAAACTTTATCTAGGTTTAAACTAAATCAATAAGTGCATTTACTTTTCCCTGAACTGTGATAAATCCATTTTGTTTCTGATAGCAATAAGTTTTGAAATAACTTGCTGTGTATAAAGCAATTTATTGTATGCAAGGATTTATGGTGTTATGGCGAAGGATATATTTTTATATTCAGTAGGTCAGTTGCAAAGTACAAAGAACTTGTACAAAACATTCTCATGAGCTGTGCTTCACTGTGAAGCATCGGATGCAAATCTTGATTTTAAACCTTTTATATAACAAATAATAATATTTTACATATAACTAAACTGGCTTACTCCTTTTAAAAAATTTGCTGAACTTATATTTTAACAGATAGAAAAGGAAAACTTAAATGTTTTCTTTGAACCCAATAATCAAACCAATCTTTATTTTATACTTGGCAAATTAGAGAAACCATTTCAGCAATTTGAAGTGGTGAATATAAGGAAGGAAAATAGTGTCATAGACTGGGATTGTTTGACATGTATTGTCTTGTGTTGGGGATAGCCACCTGTGATAAGAATGTCTTTGTACTGAATGAATAACATTTTCAGAGAAATTAAGGCTTACGTATGAATATATTCCATAAATACAGCTGGTTTATTAAGATTTTGTTTGAAACTGATGCGTGGATGTATCCAGCACTCTGCAGCAGAGAAACCAAAGAACTGCGGATGCCAAAAATCTGAAACAAAAGCAGAAATTGCTCCCAAAACTGGTCCCAAACTGTTAATTCTGCTTTCTCTCCACAGATGCTGCCAGACCTGCTGCATTTTTTTAGCAATTTCTGTTTTTGACTGCAGTAGAAGTCTGGTTGACCTAATATAATTTTTTTTTCATTTTTAGAATACTTAAATAATAGTCTTCATTTCAGTTTAATTTTTCTTAAGTTATTTTTCCTTCATACAGACTTTTCTTTTCCTTTGAGATTAATGACTGATGTTAAAGCTTTGAGATAGAAAGCCGCTAATTTTCTAATAACAATCAGTTAAAGTTTTTGAAGACCTAATGAACCCAGGGTGGGAAACAGCCACTTACTTCTTTACATGTTTCTAAGTTAATAACGTTCATTTTTACCTTCACCATTATGATACAGTGATTGTTGTATATTATGAAGATATGATTAAAAAGTTAATAATGGTGTGTGAGGTTTAGGACATCATGACTGGTGCTGATATTAAATAACTAAACAAACATCCATGCATTAACTTCATTATTTCATAAGACAATTGCATTATTTATTTGGTTTAGTGGTTGATCAGTTAGCAATGACTGTGATACAATTGCTGATCCTTCAGTCTCAGTTACAGGAAGTACACTGATTATTTCTTAGTGTTTACCACAGCAAAAATGATAAAAGTGAGATCAGATTGAATTTTATCTAAATGCGTAATTAACATATGCATGAGTCCCATTTAGATAGGTTTAAATAGCCACTAATTTTCACAGGACCATCAGACATTACTGGGTGTCTGCCTTTGCAAAACAACTCATATTCCAGAATATTCAGAACAGCAACGATGATCCCAGGGTTCTTTTCTCCACCACTGGCCATCTTCTTAATACCCCGTCCTATGCCCCCTCCAATAATGGGTGACAACCTCATGGACACCTTTGTCAATAAATAAGCTTGAGACTATGCATTCCCTGATAGCAGTGGACAATAACTGCTGGCCCTCCGGTGACACACAAAGCCCAGGAATAAATAAAAGAAAATCTGTTCAATCACCTCTGCTATTTTCTTCGTATACTTTGCCTGGCAAGCCAAATCTCCTACAGCTCTGCTTTGTATGTTATTTGCCCTATTTAAATGTTAATTGTTGTAATAAAATCCTTGAGCATCAAGCAGTCAATCCTGACCCCTCTATTTACAGTGAATAACTTCACCTGAGGATTTTGAAATGAGTGTTTTGCAATTATCCCATGGCATCTGTATTCTCTGTGGACTTTACATTGCTGTATATGGATTATACACTATGGGTGCCAGCCTTCTTTCCAGAACTGCCCTCTTACTTCTAAGTTAGAGGGCTTTGGATTTCCACCTCACCCAAGTTCAGAACTGATTGAGTACTGCACTGTTGGAGTTGCATTTTTGGATAAGATGTTAAAGCAAGATCATGCCTACTGTCACAAGTAAATTTTATAAAACTTGTGGCACTATCTAATAAATGGCATAGTAGCTGTTTGCATGGCCTGGACAACATTTATCCTTAGCAATCAGTACTTTCTTCATTGCTGTTTGTGAAATTTGCTCTGTGCAAAATAGCCTGCTCCTTTTCAGTACATTACAACAATGGCAAGGTATTTCATGGCTTTGAGACATTCTGAGATTTTGAGACAACAGTTGACTCTATTTGGTTCATAACGAACAAAGAAAGAAACAACGTTCGAACGTTAATAGAATTAGAGTTTCAGAAAGACAAAATGGTGAGGATTACAGTTTTGTTACTTGCAAATCATTTTCATTTTGGAATATATATGGTGACTTCTTCTGACATAATCACACGTGGTGCTTCTTGGTTAGCAGTTGTTTTGATGAAGAGAAAGCCACACATCTGAAATTTACCAGCATAGTTAAGTATGGTGTCATTGAATTTGAACCTTTAACAAATGGTTAGATGAACTACAATCATGATTCTGCTGATGAATAATGCCCCAATATGCATTTTCACCACCATTATGTAGGATCAGCAAATGTATTACTGGATAAAACACATAGTGTCTTGTTTTGAAGTTTGTAGAAGTGACTGATACTTGATCGTTTATTTTACTGCTTGTGTTTTTATCTTCCAGGCTCCTAGGTTCATGTCTGCCTTATCCCAAGAAGAAACATTCATCCATCCTTCAGCACAAATTGCTGACAGATATATGGTGAGTAATGAGAAGTACAGATATTTCCAGTAAACTTTGTGCCTTTTAACTACAGTGAATTCTCTTGTACCGAAGTCAATCAGAATCTATTGACTAGCAAAGAACCTTGATCGCAGGAATTTGAACACTCTGGTCTCATGACGTTGCATCCATTAAAACTAATGAATGAAAAATTGAAGTGATAATTGATCACCAATTTCAAAGTTTGTGCACAGGTGCATGATTTTGTAAGATTAAAACCAGAAATAACATTTTAGAGGTAATTAAGTATAATTTTCTCATGTCTGTTGATAGCCACGATATGTTTGCTTCTATAATCATGCCAATCATATCTGCCACAGTTCTTCTTATAAATAATACAGTGAGAATACTGGTTGGGTACCTGTTGTCTGGAAATTGGAATGCTAGCCAAGGCTATGATACCAGAGATAGTAGGAACTGCAGATGCTGGAGAATCTGAGACAACAAGGTGCAGGGCTGGATGAACACAGCAGGCCAAGCAGCATCATAGGAGCAGAGAGGCTGACGTTTCGGGCCTAGACCCTTCATCAGAAAAGGGGGAGGGGAAGGGGGTTTTGAAATAAATAGGGAGAGAGTGGGAGGCGGATAGAAGAGGGATAGAGGAGAGGATAGGTGGAGAGGAAACAAACAGGTCGAAGA